CCGCTCTCGCCAGCAGCACGTGGTGCGCCAGCGCGGCGGCGGCGGCGAGCGCGGCGAGCACGCGGAAGGATCACTGACCTGTGTTGTGTCTCGCTCTTGCAAGTATCGCTCACCTGTGTTGCGTCCCGCTCTCGCCAGCAGCACGTGGTGCGCCAGCGCGGCGGCGGCGGCAAGCGCGGCGAGCGCGCGGAAGGATCACTGACCTGTGTTGTGTCTCGCTCTTGCAAATATCGCTTACCTGTGTTGCGTCCCGCTCTCGCCAGCAGCACGTGGTGCGCCAGCGCGGCGGCGGCGGCGAGCGCGGCGAGCGCGCGGAAGGATCACTGACCTGTGTTGTGTCTCGCTCTTGCAAGTATCGCTTACCTGTGTTGCGTCCCGCTCTCGCCAGCAGCACGTGGTGCGCCAGCGCGGCGGCGGCGGCAAGCGCGGCGAGCGCGCGGAAGGGTCACTGACCTGTGTTGTGTCTCGCTCTTGCAAGTATCGCTTAACTGTGTTGCGTCCCGCTCTCGCCAGCAGCACGTGGTGCGCCAGCGCGGCGGCGGCGGCGAGCGCGGCGAGCACGCGGAAGGATCACTGACCTGTGTTGTGTCTCGCTCTTGCAAGTATCGCTCACCTGTGTTGCGTCCCGCTCTCGCCAGCAGCACGTGGTGCGCCAGCGCGGCGGCGGCGGCAAGCGCGGCGAGCGCGCGGAAGGATCACTGACCTGTGTTGTGTCTCGCTCTTGCAAGTATCGCTCACCTGTGTTGCGTCCCGCTCTCGCCAGCAGCACGTGGTGCACCAGCGCGGCGGCGGCGGCGAGCGCGGCGAGCACGCGGAAGGATCACTGACCTGTGTTGTGTCTCGCTCTTGCAAGTATCGCTCACCTGTGTTGCGTCCCGCTCTCGCCAGCAGCACGTGGTGCGCCAGCGCGGCGGCGGCGGCGAGCGCGGCGAGCACGCGGAAGGATCACTGACCTGTGTTGTGTCTCGCTCTTGCAAGTATCGCTCACCTGTGTTGCGTCCCGCTCTCGCCAGCAGCACGTGGTGCGCCAGCGCGGCGGCGGCGGCAAGCGCGGCGAGCACGCGGAAGGATCACTGACCTGTGTTGTGTCTCGCTCTTGCAAGTATCGCTCACCTGTGTTGCGTCCCGCTCTCGCCAGCAGCACGTGGTGCGCCAGCGCGGCGGCGGCGGCAAGCGCGGCGAGCGCGCGGAAGGATCACTGACCTGTGTTGTGTCTCGCTCTTGCAAATATCGCTTACCTGTGTTGCGTCCCGCTCTCGCCAGCAGCACGTGGTGCGCCAGCGCGGCGGCGGCGGCGAGCGCGGCGAGCACGCGGAAGGATCACTGACCTGTGTTGTGTCTCGCTCTTGCAAGTATCGCTCACCTGTGTTGCGTCCCGCTCTCGCCAGCAGCACGTGGTGCGCCAGCGCGGCGGCGGCGGCAAGCGCGGCGAGCGCGCGGAAGGATCACTGACTTGTGTTGTGTCTCGCTCTTGCAAGTATCGCTCACCTGTGTTGCGTCCCGCTCTCGCCAGCAGCACGTGGTGCGCCAGCGCGGCGGCGGCGGCGAGCGCGGCGAGCACGCGGAAGGATCACTGACCTGTGTTGTGTCTCGCTCTTGCAAGTATCGCTCACCTGTGTTGCGTCCCGCTCTCGCCAGCAGCACGTGGTGCGCCAGCGCGGCGGCGGCGGCGGCGGCAAGCGCGGCGAGCGCGCGGAAGGATCACTGACCTATGTTGTGTCTCGCTCTTGCAAGTATCGCTTACCTGTGTTGCGTCCCGCTCTCGCCAGCAGCACGTGGTGCGCCAGCGCGGCGGCGGCGGCGAGCGCGGCGAGCACGCGGAAGGATCACTGACCTGTGTTGTGTCTCGCTCTTGCAAGTATCGCTCACCTGTGTTGCGTCCCGCTCTCGCCAGCAGCACGTGGTGCGCCAGCGCGGCGGCGGCGGCAAGCGCGGCGAGCGCGCGTAAGGATCACTGACCTGTGTTGTGTCTCGCTCTTGCAAATATCGCTTACCTGTGTTGCGTCCCGCTCTCGCCAGCAGCACGTGGTGCGCCAGCGCGGTGGCGGCGGCGAGCGCGGCGAGCGCGCGGAAGGATCACTGACCTGTGTTGTGTCTCGCTCTTGCAAGTATCGCTTACCTGTGTTGCGTCCCGCTCTCGCCAGCAGCACGTGGTGCGCCAGCGCGGCGGCGGCGGCAAGCGCGGCGAGCGCGCGGAAGGATCACTGACCTGTGTTGTGTCTCGCTCTTGCAAGTATCGCTTAACTGTGTTGCGTCCCGCTCTCGCCAGCAGCACGTGGTGCGCCAGCGCGGCGGCGGCGGCGAGCGCGGCGAGCACGCGGAAGGATCACTGACCTGTGTTGTGTCTCGCTCTTGCAAGTATCGCTCACCTGTGTTGCGTCCCGCTCTCGCCAGCAGCACGTGGTGCGCCAGCGCGGCGGCGGCGGCAAGCGCGGCGAGCGCGCGGAAGGATCACTGACCTGTGTTGTGTCTCGCTCTTGCAAGTATCGCTTACCTGTGTTGCGTCCCGCTCTCGCCAGCAGCACGTGGTGCGCCAGCGCGGCGGCGGCGGCGAGCGCGGCGAGCACGCGGAAGGATCACTGACCTGTGTTGTGTCTCGCTCTTGCAAGTATCGCTCACCTGTGTTGCGTCCCGCTCTCGCCAGCAGCACGTGGTGCGCCAGCGCGGCGGCGGCGGCGAGCGCGGCGAGCACGCGGAAGGATCACTGACCTGTGTTGTGTCTCGCTCTTGCAAGTATCGCTCACCTGTGTTGCGTCCCGCTCTCGCCAGCAGCACGTGGTGCGCCAGCGCGGCGGCGGCGGCGAGCGCGGCGAGCACGCGGAAGGATCACTGACCTGTGTTGTGTCTCGCTCTTGCAAGTATCGCTCACCTGTGTTGCGTCCCGCTCTCGCCAGCAGCACGTGGTGCGCCAGCGCGGCGGCGGCGGCGAGCGCGGCGAGCACGCGGAAGGATCACTGACCTGTGTTGTGTCTCGCTCTTGCAAGTATCGCTCACCTGTGTTGCGTCCCGCTCTCGCCAGCAGCACGTGGTGCGCCAGCGCGGCGGCGGCGGCAAGCGCGACGAGCGCGCGGAAGGATCACTGACCTGTGTTGTGTCTCGCTCTTGCAAGTATCGCTCACCTGTGTTGCGTCCCGCTCTCGCCAGCAGCACGTGGTGCGCCAGCGCGGCGGCGGCGGCAAGCGCGGCGAGCGCGCGGAAGGATCACTGACCTGTGTTGTGTCTCGCTCTTGCAAATATCGCTTACCTGTGTTGCGTCCCGCTCTCGCCAGCAGCACGTGGTGCGCCAGCGCGGCGGCGGCGGCGAGCGCGGCGAGCACGCGGAAGGATCACTGACCTGTGTTGTGTCTCGCTCTTGCAAGTATCGCTCACCTGTGTTGCGTCCCGCTCTCGCCAGCAGCACGTGGTGCGCCAGCGCGGCGGCGGCGGCAAGCGCGGCGAGCGCGCGGAAGGATCACTGACTTGTGTTGTGTCTCGCTCTTGCAAGTATCGCTCACCTGTGTTGCGTCCCGCTCACGCCAGCAGCACGTGGTGCGCCAGCGCGGCGGCGGCGGCGAGCGCGGCGAGCACGCGGAAGGATCACTGACCTGTGTTGTGTCTCGCTCTTGCAAGTATCGCTCACCTGTGTTGCGTCCCGCTCTCGCCAGCAGCACGTGGTGCGCCAGCGCGGCGGCGGCGGCGGCGGCAAGCGCGGCGAGCGCGCGGAAGGATCACTGACCTATGTTGTGTCTCGCTCTTGCAAGTATCGCTTACCTGTGTTGCGTCCCGCTCTCGCCAGCAGCACGTGGTGCGCCAGCGCGGCGGCGGCGGCGAGCGCGGCGAGCACGCGGAAGGATCACTGACCTGTGTTGTGTCTCGCTCTTGCAAGTATCGCTCACCTGTGTTGCGTCCCGCTCTCGCCAGCAGCACGTGGTGCGCCAGCGCGGCGGCGGCGGCAAGCGCGGCGAGCGCGCGGAAGGATCACTGACCTGTGTTGTGTCTCGCTCTTGCAAATATCGCTTACCTGTGTTGCGTCCCGCTCTCGCCAGCAGCACGTGGTGCGCCAGCGCGGCGGCGGCGGCGAGCGCGGCGAGCGCGCGGAAGGATCACTGACCTGTGTTGTGTCTCGCTCTTGCAAGTATCGCTTACCTGTGTTGCGTCCCGCTCTCGCCAGCAGCACGTGGTGCGCCAGCGCGGCGGCGGCGGCAAGCGCGGCGAGCGCGCGGAAGGATCACTGACCTGTGTTGTGTCTCGCTCTTGCAAGTATCGCTTAACTGTGTTGCGTCCCGCTCTCGCCAGCAGCACGTGGTGCGCCAGCGCGGCGGCGGCGGCGAGCGCGGCGAGCACGCGGAAGGATCACTGACCTGTGTTGTGTCTCGCTCTTGCAAGTATCGCTCACCTGTGTTGCGTCCCGCTCTCGCCAGCAGCACGTGGTGCGCCAGCGCGGCGGCGGCGGCAAGCGCGGCGAGCGCGCGGAAGGATCACTGACCTGTGTTGTGTCTCGCTCTTGCAAGTATCGCTTACCTGTGTTGCGTCCCGCTCTCGCCAGCAGCACGTGGTGCGCCAGCGCGGCGGCGGCGGCGAGCGCGGCGAGCACGCGGAAGGATCACTGACCTGTGTTGTGTCTCGCTCTTGCAAGTATCGCTCACCTGTGTTGCGTCCCGCTCTCGCCAGCAGCACGTGGTGCGCCAGCGCGGCGGCGGCGGCGAGCGCGGCGAGCACGCGGAAGGATCACTGACCTGTGTTGTGTCTCGCTCTTGCAAGTATCGCTCACCTGTGTTGCGTCCCGCTCTCGCCAGCAGCACGTGGTGCGCCAGCGCGGCGGCGGCGGCGAGCGCGGCGAGCACGCGGAAGGATCACTGACCTGTGTTGTGTCTCGCTCTTGCAAGTATCGCTCACCTGTGTTGCGTCCCGCTCTCGCCAGCAGCACGTGGTGCGCCAGCGCGGCGGCGGCGGCGAGCGCGGCGAGCACGCGGAAGGATCACTGACCTGTGTTGTGTCTCGCTCTTGCAAGTATCGCTCACCTGTGTTGCGTCCCGCTCTCGCCAGCAGCACGTGGTGCGCCAGCGCGGCGGCAGCGGCGAGCGCGGCGAGCGCGCGGAAGGCGTTGCGTCCGCCCGCGCGCCCGTACAGCTGCCCACCGACCAGCGACCCCAGCGCGAATCCTGCACACGCACAACACTACTCACTTACACACCCTGCCTAACTGCCCCGAAATAATAAAGCGGCCGACTATCAACTGTTTTGCCTTGATGTTGCTGTTTTGACAGTATTGATGTTTTTTTTTATATAGAATAAGGGAAGAAATGAGCACACACTCCACCTGATGGTAAATATAACTATTTATATTTATACCTATAGGCCCATAGACGTTTACGTTTATCCTCAATTAAGAATAAAAATTCGGATGCGTTGTCACCCGTGAGGACTAAGATGGAATGCCTCTATTGCAGTAAAAAAGGGTCTCCGGTTCTCTACACTCACCAAACGAAGCACAGCAGCATTGAGCTAATATTTTACGCTGGTATTTTGTCTTGACATGTGCGTTTAAACAGTAACAGTACTGTGCTGTCTACTGTTCTGCCTCACTACCCTGCCGTACGAAATCTGCATAAAGTTCTAGACAAGCACCACCCTCTTATTCATTTTTGAATAACAACAGTGCCTAAACTACAGTGTTCAGTCTATAAAGAATATCATCACCAGTGGCCCCATCACTAACCCTGCACACACGTCACCGTTCATGTACAAGCACAGTTCACTGCACATCACACCCTGCCTTAAGTCTGTGTGGGTAAGCACTACCTTCTTACCCACTTCTGACGTTAATACCGTTAACGTTACAGCTTTAAGGTATTCGATTAAAACCAAAGAAACCAATTAAAACCAAGGATTTTTCAATTTGAAAGATTTTAATATGACAGGAACAGTGGAAATATTCTATTCCCGATACTTTTAGTGCAGCCCTCGTAGCTCGAAGAACCGACAACCGATGGGGAAGAAAGGTTCTCGAGTGGCAGCCTCGTACCGGTAGGCGAAGTGTAGGGCGACCACCCACGAGATGTAGTGACGATCTGCATGTCTGCAGGAAGTCGATGGACGCAGGTGACTCAGGACCGTGCTTTGTGGCATTCCTTGGGGGAGGCCTATGTTCAGAAGTGGACTTATGAAAGGCTGTAATGAAGATGATGATGACGAATAATAACAAAACGGGGGACACAATTTTATGTTGCAATTACATATCTTTTTTTTTTGTATAGAATAAGCGTGATAAACGAGCACACAGTCCACCTGATGGAAAGATAATGCTTATAGACATCTACATTACTCCTAATTTTATATGTAGATACCCGCACGTTGTTACTCCTGAAGATTGATAATTTTTATTGAATATGCCTCATTTTCAATAAAAAGGATCTCGGGTTGTTTTGACTCAGCATACGAAACACATCAGCATTAAATTGGTATTTTACGCTGGTGGTCTGTGAGAGCGTGGTCCTACCTAAGTCTAGCTCACCCATTCACGCTACAACCATAATATAGCTGCAGCACAACTCTGGCTTTGTAACGGCGCACAGTCTCGGTACGGCAATCTCTTGATAGAAAACCCAATAACTGATTGTTAGGCCGACCCGGGGTTCGAACCCAGAACAGTCTGAACAACAGTCGCGTTTACGACCATTAGATCAACGAGGCAATCAATCGTGGTAACTATGGCAAATATCTCCCCATGAAGCAATCTATTTTTTTATAGGAAAATGGTGACAAACGAGCACACAGTCAACCTGATGGTAAGTGGTTGCTGCGGCCCGTAGACATCTACATCTATGCTTGATTACAAAATGCAGATGCGTTGTCACCCGTGAGGACTAAGATGAAATGCCCCGTTTCCAGTAAAAAAGGATTCGGTTCTTTACACTCACCATACGTAATAGTAGCGTAAGCCTGCTATTTTACGCTGGTATTCTGTGAGAGCATGGTCCTTCCCCGGTCGAACCGACCCATTCGTGCTACAACTATACCAGTAATATACCTAAGACCTAAGAGTGTGGACTTTTGATAGACTGTAATGGTAAAGAATATATGAAGTATATTTGGACATATTTCAGACCCAAAAGATAAGTTCATGAAAAAATTTACCAAAAAGTTAAGATAATGTATATTTTACCTTATAAGCATAGCGATAAGGTTTAATTTGCATCTGTCACATAACTATATCGAAACTCACCCACACCGTCGTCCATGCCGGCTACAATGCCTTGAACTGTGGCGGAATATCCTGCGGGGGCCACGTGGGCTGCGTAGCCCACGATCGTGGAGTAGCAGAGGGCGTAAGTTGGCCCTTGCATTACCGCCTAGAGTAAAAGAAAACATACACTTGTGTGAGGGTGCAGTTTTATTTCTAAATACAGGGTTATTTGGCAATAACTGGCCAAATTTGCAGAGAAGGTAACAAAATGCGTGGTGATGCATTATTTTAACTGATAGTCATTCATAAATATCTATTTTACAACGCACGCACACATTCGTAAGGATCGATCGGTCAGCAAAAAGTTGTGAATTGAATCGCACACAGGAGCGCGCGCACGCGTAGTTGTTGCCCATAAATCACATTCAATTTGGAATAATTTTAAATAAAAGTAGAAGCCTTATTTACTTGTATTTTCAAAAACTGCAATAACGGTATATCATTATTTATATACTTGAACTTAAGTGTAAATTTGGCTACTCTTTGAAAAATAACCCTGTATAGTTGTTGGTGTTTTGTTCCATCACATATGGAGGTTTATTGAAAATGCCTTAGACAATAATAAATTATATAGCAATAACATCACTATATAATATCCCGCTCGCTGTAAATTTCACAGAGCAAGGTTTGATCCCCACCGGCACCAATGAAATTGTTTATTGCTTTACGTGTTGATTTACCACGTGCTCGGTGAAGGAAAACATTGTTAGAAACCCTGCATATCTGAGAAATAAGATAAAAAAACATTTCGAAGACATGTGAAGTCCTCCAATACGCATTGAGGCAGAGCGGCAGACATTTCCTTGCCCCAAATCCCGCAGAAATGAGAGCAGGGCCTGTGTCCAGCAGTGAGACATATACAGTGGTGTAGCTACCTTGGGGCTAGGCGGGGCTGTGCCCAGGGGCCCACAAGCTCAAGGGGCCCCTCATCCTCCATGAACGATGAACGACGAAAAATCAATACATATAATATCCCAGTTGAATAAAAAAATATCCACATTTAAAAATTTCTCCCAACGCCACAACATAAATATCATTGTCTAAATACCTATATTATTAACTGTAATCTATGTCGTCATTGTTTATTTTTACCAGGGATCGGATCGCGATCCTTTTATCGGGATGCAACGGTGATGACGGAATGAATCGGTGTGCTAAATTTCATTCAAATCCATACAGTAATTTTAACGTGAAAGCCTAACAAAGAAACAAATTTTCACATTCATAATATTATATTTACAAACAAAATTTCACATTTAATAACGGGGCGGATTGACAGGCCCCGGCTTCGCACGGTTTCAGTTTACACATGGTGTCATTTAGGTTTAAAAAGCACTGTTCGATCAATTTAGTTTGTCGCTATAGACCAAATACCTAACTCACTATTACGAAAAATGCACTAAGTAAGAAAATATCTTATCGTGTATTATCACAGTCTATAAATCGATACAGTCGTCCGACGAAGACGTTTAGACAGGGCAATCGTGCGGGGTGTGAGGGGTGAGACGCGGGAAGGACGAGCCCAAGCTGCTCACGCCAATTAGAGATGAGACATACTAGCAAAATTTAATACCAGGGCTTCTAAGTACGAGTATGGAAAAATACCAGGGTCGAAAACCAGGTTTTAAAAATACTTGAAAGTATTTGTTAATGTCAATATATATATATGAATGCCTAATTTGATTCGGGCAAAAATTTATACTGAACTTTTTTTAATTTTTTTTTTAGTAACGAAATGAAATCTTTCCTTCCTACTTTTCGGCATAGGACTCTTAATAAATAAAAGTTTTAAAACTGTCTCTATGTTCAATATACACGCGAAATAACTATTTAAAAATTATGTCACGGTCAGTAGGTTACGTAATCAGTTCACAATAACAATTGAATTTACAAGAAATCGAAACAAAACTTTTACTTTCTCGAATATAAACATAATTCTTATTACTTACTAGGTACTTACGCGACGTGTCCAGCCGCGGTGTCAGTTTGAAAATACTTGCAAAGAGTATAGTAATATATAAGGAAGAATACTTGCATAGGAATTTGACCCGCTTTCCATGTTAGGCTACTATTACTAAGGAGCAAAGTCGTATAAATAAAAAAATACTTTGAAGTTCAAAGTATTTTTCATTCACAAATACGATTGAGTTTCTTATTAGTATTTAGATATGGATCATTTTCCTATGCAAGTATTCTCATACTTGCAAGTATTTTTTGGTCGTAAAAGGGCGCCGTACTTTAAAGTTAAAACCTGGTAGCGTAAATACGTCTCTTTGCGACGCGAGGGACGTGTCCAGCCGTGGTGTCAAAATTTGAAAATACTTGCATAGGAATTTCACCCGTATTCCATGTTATCCTACTATGAATAAGGAGCAAAGTCGTATAAATAAAAAAAAATACTTTGAAGTTCTAAGTATTTTTCGTTCACAAATACGATTGAGTTCTTTACTACTATTGAGATATGGATAATTTTCCTATGCAAGTATTTTCATACTTGCAAGTATTTTTTGCTCGTACCAGGGCGCCGTACTTTGAAGTGAATACCTGGTTTTAAAACCTGGTAGCGCAAATACGTCTCATCTTTAATGCCAATCGTATTAGTAGCTCGGGACACGACTTCCAGGGATAACGCACGTTTGCTTTTATAATTTTTAAATTTAGTGTTGATACTTATAATTAAAAGGGTCAGGGGGTTCTCATGCTGGTCTACCTTTCCGGTGATCCTGGTATGGAATACGGGTACGCGACCCCGGCTCCCCGAGCTACTGTTATTCTCATACCTTTCCTGCCGAGATAACAGTATCCTTACACCTATGCTCCTACCCCCAAACTTCTTTTTCCTTTTCCCAAAATGGTAGCTTCCTCTACCAGCAATAGCATACCCAAAGAGGGTTGGTGTCAGGCAGGCGGCCGACTGTAAAACTTTTGCCAAATCCCATGCAGTAAATGAATAGTACGAGTTGTGGGACATATGACAGGGCTAGGGCGTACCCCGCAGGCGACGCGCAGGGGCAGCACCCGGCTCCTGTGGGAAGTGGGCAAGGGTTGTCGCACCTTACGGAGCGGGTGCGACGTAAGAGGCGAGCCCGGAGAGAGAAGAATGTCAGAGTGAGATTTGCAAGCTGGAATATAGGTACGATGACTGGAAGAGGAAGAGAGTTAGCAGATGTTTTGAAACGACGAAGAGTGAATGTTGCCTGTTTGCAGGAAACAAAATAGAAGGGCAATAAAGCAAGAGAGATTGGGGAGGGATACAAGTTTTATTATTGTGGAAGTGATGGGAAGCGAAATGGAGTAGGAGTTGTGTTAGATAGTGGAATGAAAGAACGAGTGACAGATGTGAAAAGAGTAAATGACAGAATGATAGTTGTTAAATTAATGATTGAAAACAAAGTAGTGAATGTTGTAAGTGTGTATGCTCCGCAAACAGGCTGTGAAGAGAGTGTGAAAGAGAAGTTTTGGGAGGAATTTGATTGTATGATGATGGGAATACCTGAGCGTGAGGATGTTTATATGGGAGGAGATTTTAATGGACATGTAGGGAGAGTGAATGACGGGTATGAAAGAGTACACGGTGGATGGGGGTACGGAGTGCGGAACCGTGAGGGGGAAGTTCTTCTGCAAGCAGCATGTGCTTTCGACCTGGCTGTAGTAAACACGTGGTTCCAAAAACGAGATCAGCATCTTGTTACTTATAAAAGTGGCCACCACGCGACACAGATCGACTATCTTCTGATAAGACGGAACCAAATCAAGAGTGTAAAAAACTGCAAAGTGCTTCCAGGTGAAGACTTAGTATCCCAGCACCGAATTCTGCTGGCTGACATCTGCTTAACTGTTCGCCTCAACAAACATAAGGATCGTCCCCCACCCAAAATAAAGTGGCATTTGCTGCATAAGGAGGGGTATGCAAGTGAATTTAGAGAGCTAGTTGTAAACAAGATGATAGAGATGGGTGATATGGAAGGAATGAGTGTGAATGAGTGCTGGAAGGAAATGGCTGATTGTATCAGAAGTGTGGCAAGGAAGGTGTTAGGAGAAACAAAAGGGAAGCGTATGATAGATAAGGATGGGTGGTGGTGAAGTGAAAGTATTAGAGAAGTTTTGAGAGAAAAGAAAAATGCCTTTAAAGAATGGCAGAGCGTAGAAGACCAGAATGAATCCATAAAAGAAAGTAAGAGAGGGGCGTATAAAGAATGTAAGAAGAGAGCGAAGAAGGAAGTTGCTATTTGTAGGGCAGAGGCGCACGATAAATTATATCGGTCCCTTGAAAGCCCCGAAGGTCAAAAACGACTTTTTCAAATTGCAAGAGCGAGAGAAAGGAATGGAAGAGATGTTTCACATGTAAAATGTATAAAAGATGATTCTGGAAGGATTTTGACTGACGATGAAAGTATAAAGAAGCGATGGAAGGAGTATTTTGAGAAATTGATGAATGAGGAGAATGAATGGAATGGTATGCTTGAAAACCCACCAGTGAATATGGGCTTAGTGAGAGAAATTAGTGTGGAAGAAGTAAAAATGGCTGTTAGGAATATGAAGAATGGGAAGGCGGTCGGCCCAGATGGAATACCAGTAGAAGTGTGGAAGTTGCTGAGGGCGGATGGATGGAAGTGGTTGAGTTTATTTTTCGGTAAATTGTTGCAGGAAGAACAAATACCTGAGGAATGGTGCAGTAGTATACTGGTTCCCATTTTTAAAAACAAAGGAGACGTTCAAAACTGCAGCAGTTACCGGGGAATAAAGCTCATGTCACATACGATGAAAGTCTGGGAAAGAGTAATAGAGAGAAGAATGAGAGAAGAGTGTGAGATAACACAAAACCAGTTCGGATTCATGCCCGGTCGAGGTACGACAGATGCCATTTTCGCATTACGCCAATTGTGCGAAAAGTACAAGCGCGTGCATAAAGTTCTGCACATGGTTTTTGTCGACCTTGAAAAGGCGTACGATCGGGTTCCCCGTGAGGTCGTGTGGTGGGCGTTAAAGATGAAAGGTATGTCTGGGAAGTATGTGAGGTTGGTCCGTGCTATGCACAGAGCATCCCGTACATGTGTACGATCTGCCGCGGGAACTACGGGCAGTATCGATGTGGCGGTAGGGCTGCACCAAGGGTCGGCACTGAGCCCTTACCTCTTCCTACTGATTATGGACGCTTTGACGTCGGACCTGCAGGATGAGGCACCCTGGTGCATGCTCTTTGCCGATGACATCGTGCTTGTCGGGGAAGAAGGCATCGAGGTACAGAGCAGACTGACGGGGTGGCAACGGAGGCTGGAAAGTGTTGGCCTGAAGATCAGCAGATCCAAAACCGAGTATCTGTGCTGTGATTTCGGCGGTCTTTCCAGTCCTGTACCCATGTCGTTGGATGGCGCTATACTGCCTATCTGCTCAAATGTCAAGTACCTCGGTTCCCTCATTCAAGGCGACGGCGGAATAGATAGAGCTGTGCAGCATAGGATTAACGCAGGGTGGATGAAATGGCGACAGGTCACAGCCACAACGTGCGATCCCCGAATGCCAATAAGGCTGAAGGGGAAAATTTACAAATCGATCATCCGACCTGTCGTCATGTATGGAAGTGAATGCTGGGCCGTCAAGAAGAAGGATGAAAATAGACTGCATGCGAATGAAATGAGAATGTTACGATGGATGTGTGGTGTGACAAGGATGGATAAGATAAGGAATGAGTATATAAGAGGAAGCCTGAAAGTAGCGCCAGTGGTAGAAAAGGTGAGAGGAAGCAGATTGGCATGGTTTGGGCATGTGATGCGGAGGAATGAAAGTCATGTCACAAAACGAGTGTTGAATATGAATGTGGAGGGACACACGGGCAGAGGAAGGCCGAATAAAAGATGGATCGATTGTGTGAAGAGTGATATGAGAATGAAAGGAGTAAGTATGGAAATGACGGCTGATAGAGAGGAATGGAACAAAAAGATTTACTGCGCCGACCCCAGATAATGGGAAATGGTTTAGAGAATGATGATGACTTATAATTAAAATGGTTCATACGACGTGTGCTGTGAGAGATTGCAAGTCGCCATCTCGCATAAATAAAGATCTGCGATTTCACCAAATCCCGCACACGGAAAAAAGAATATTGTTATTATTTTTTACATTATGTATATTTTATCATGTCATGCCAAATTGCCAACGTAAAAAAATGGCGGACGTAAAAATAGGTACTAGTCGCTGGGCTTTATCTAAATCGTGTGGTTGGACAGGCTAAGGTTTTAGACCATACTATAGTGCCTCGTCTTCGGTTTTTCGAAGTTTTTTATAAAATATTAAGATTTAGGGGTCAATTTTTAGGTTTGTCGGAGTGCGATTAATATGATATGGGTATCAATTTCGAGGTTTCTTGTGGTGCTGATTATGAAAATGGAATTAATTTTTAAATCCAAGACGGTGGACATAATTTCTTTTTAATGTTATGGATGTCAATTTCGAGTTTTTTTGGGGAGCCAATTACGAAAACCACATCAATTTTCATATCCAAAATGGTGGATTTTTTTTAATAATAAAATTGACATAATTTAAAGGTTTCTGGGGGCGATAATTATGAAAATTTATTATTAAGTACTTTATTTAAAAATTTCAGATGTATATTATGGATGGAAGTTATTGGAAGACCTGATTTAGTTGGAAGAACTTTCAAAAGCCTAAAGAATCAATCATAAAATAAACTAATAATTCAATGTCTACAGACATTGTCATTGTAACGTTAATAATAATATGGATTTGATGTCTAGCTAAGAGTATTAGAACGATTTCATGTAGCGGAATTGAAGGTATGGCCACATATCGACAGTAGAGCACTCCCTCACGTTGTGAGGCGTGCAATTAACGTTTTGAGTACTTTCAGGAAAAATCTAAGAACAAATCGTTACTTATTTTTTATATTAGTAATCATACAGTTGATGACGATGTAGATCTAAAATAAATAATTAAATTAGTAAAATTTGTTAATTTGTGACAACCCTAACCTCCATACGCTGTCTAGTCGTTGTCGACATTTACCACGAGATCAAAGGCGTCGTCCTACTGTATGTTTATTATACTGTGGTATTATGGTGAAACAGATCCAAACTTGTCCACGGCTTACAGATTTAACAACTTTGGTTAATTTAGCTGTCAATGTCAAACTTTTATCATTACTGCCAGTTATTACAGTATGTCTTTATATACAATGTTTACAGCTGACTTTTCATTACATAATACGAACAGATTTTGTCTGAAAGTGACGCACGAAAGGGCTACATATAGCTGTTCATGAGAGAAAACACTCAACGTTCAGGTTTAAGTGCGCAACGTTAATATTTGACCTTATGATTTGTTGATCGTCACTGAAAATGGTGATGGTTATATTGGGATAAACTTTGTCTACCAATACTTAAAGATCATTTTCTAAAACGTAAGGATTTTCGATGTCAAGATTAATTCTTCCATTGTCTTATGGCATATGCCCTGTGTGCAACAACTCTACAAAATGCCGATTATAATGTGCTGACAACGAAGGAGGCCGCGGCGGAATCGTGCAGGGCAGCCGTGATTTTTTTTTTTTTGGTGGCACGTAATTTTAAGTCTGTGATGTCTTCTAAAGTATTCATTTAAATAATATAATTTAGGGGATAATTTTAATTTAGATGAAATGCCCAAGTTAACTAACATCTTTATTAAGATAAATATTAATACTAAATTATAGAAAACATCTTCGCAAATAAGCAAATATTTTTAATTAAATTTCAAAGATAGAAAGGGTTACTGTGAGACAAACTTAGGAGACAGACATATTATTATGCTAACGCGGACTTTTGGTCTAGACTTTTTGAAGAACTACGATTCCTTAGTACATTGTTTTGATGCATTTCTTAAAGTTTAGCCAGCGAAGTAAGCGTCACAATGTCGATTTTGTGGCGACTTAATTACAAAATATTGAACTTTTTCTACCATTCAAACTTAATTAGAATGTAATGTACCTACTAACATCTGTAAAAAATCTCTAAATGACAGTGAAATATGTTTCAAAATCCGTTGCGTGATTGCGTAGTTTAAAAGAAGTAAGTAGGTATGGTTTCTTTTCAATAATCGAAAACAACGTATTCATTTATTTTATCAACACGGTACTCAATAGTCAATCGCCTTGTAAAATAAAAAGTTTCATACAAACTGTGTAACACCCTATTTCCTCCCCCTGGCTGAATTTTCTTAGACCCTTTCTTAGTGCATGCCTACGTTACAAAAAGCAGCTATTTTCGGATTGCTACGTATAGCGGTTTGGGCTGTGCTATAGATGAGTCAGTCACTCAGAATATCCTCTTTTATATACACATATAGATTAGGAAGTACGAATAAATATTATCTGCTGTCGCTATTATGCCCAATAGTCGGAGATAAGGAGCTAATGAGGAAGTAGATTTGCACATTTAAAGTATTTAGATTAGTTCAAATAGGGCCCCAATTTCATTTTTGCCCGGGGCCCTTGGTTGCATAGCTACGCCACTGGACGTCTATAGCCTGTAACTTTAACATCTGCTCGCCCTTTCTCGCTCACCAGCGGCCTTTCATAATTCGCGCACATATCGCACTGCTTCGTTGTCTCTAAACAAACATATTCTAAATTAATAATTTAAAATTAAAAATTTTGTACAGCCGACTTCAATATAAGTTATTTAAGAATAACTTAAAAACTATTGGTCTGACCTTGATCAAATTCATATGGGACCACACGAGAAGTACCAGCTTTCAAATAAAAAAAGAATCATCGAAATCGGTTCACCCAGAAAAAAGTTCTGAGGTAACACACATAAAAAAAAACGAAAAAAAAAAAAACATACAGTCGAATTGAGTACCGGCTCCTTTTTGGAAGTCGGCAGAAAACTTATAAACATCAAGAACTCGAAAAATATTAAATGAATGATTAGTGATTTACATGGTAGAGCCAGGCTGCAGGTATATCTGGGGGCACGCTAGTGCCCCGCCAAGTCGAGCAAAAAGCGGCACCGCCGTACCATCCTTTTCTCGAAGCACTTAATACCTTGGATAGTAGTAATGTACCCCTTATGAGAAAAGCTATAGAAGGCGATGTTCAGCGGTGCACTTTAATACGATGTACTGAATGAATGAGTGTGAGCTTGCTGTGCGCTAGCGACCAACGAGAATCTGTCAGCGGCAGATTGTACACATGGATACTCTACGTTCAATGACCGAAGAGTATCCATGTGAAACGTATGCCATGTGGTCACGCTTGGCGGGCGAAATCTCTTATTCAAAACTTTAAGGAAATTATTACATTGGCCTCTTAATTCATTGAGGAAAGTGTCATCTATGCACATAAAAACAAAAAGTTTTAAAATATAAGTGAAATACATACATCTCTTAATACCATAAACTGATACAAGTTAGTAATAGCAGTTATTTAACTACACAGAGTTGGTAATTATTCATTCATGGCTCAATTTTTACGCTTCTACAACAAAATCTCAGAAAATATACAAAGTCAATTTATATTATTCAGTATAAAAAAGTTTGTGATAGTTTTAAGTAAAGATAAATGACGAAAACGCCTGCAAATGAACTTATCTTTACCAAGTTATTTCTAAATACCTAACAGAAATCACTCTATATACTGAACAATAAGATATAAATTACGTCACCAAGTTTTCCATGCTCACCTCGATGAAAACCAAGTGCCAGGGATGTTGAATGAAAGAGATCAGTGCAAGTCTTACTCCGTAGCAGAAGAGAGAGAAAGTAAGGGTAAAGCCGTAGCCCCACCGCTTGATGATTTTACCTGAAACCACGAAAAACATATATTCGAATACATTTTTTTATAGAATAAGACTAACAAAATAATAAGACTAACTAACTAACACTTAAACGAGCACAAAGCCCACACGATAGAAAGTGAATGCTGTGGCCCATAGACAACTACATCTATCCTCGAATAAGAATAAAATGCAGATACACGTCGTCACACCTGAGGACTGAGATGGAATGGCTCGTGTCTAGTAAAAAGAGTTTCCAGCTCTCTACACCCACCATACGAAACACAGTAGCATTAAGCTGCTACTTTACGCTGGTATTCTGCGACAGCGTGATCCTACGTGATTCGTGCACAATCATAATATAGCTACAGCATGGCCCTACGAGGGCGGCACTAAAAATTTCGGGAATCAAGGAAGTGACACAACATTACTATTTAAAAATGTATTTATTGCTTTTCGAAGTATTCTCCGCGAAATTTGACACATTTTTCCATACGATGGAACCAATCATTGAAGCAACCATTCCATTCGGAAGTTGGGGTCTCCAAAATGGCCGTTTTGTAGGCGTCCACAGCTTCTTCTGGTGATGAAAATCTCTGTCCACGCAATTTATTCTTTATTTTAGGGAAAGTATAGAAATCATTAGGGCTTAAGTCGGGGCTGTACGGCGGATGGTCTAATAATTCTATGTTTTCTTGCTCTAAAAACTCTTTTGTTCTGTGTGCGGTGTGAGAACTCGCATTGTCGTGATGGAGGATGATGCGGCGGTTGCAGTTCTCCTTACGGAATTCAGAAACGACCTGTGGCAAACAAATGCTAGCATACCATTCTGCATTAACCGTTCTTTGTTCCTCAAGAGGAATAGTCGTAACATGGCCGGTTTTGGAGACAAACGTGGCCACCATTTTTTTTGCAACACTCCGTGAACGAAAAATTTTTGTTGGCTTTAACTCATTTTCGAACACCCAAACTCGTGACTGGTTTTTTGTTTCGGGTTCGTAAGCGTATATCCAGGATTCGTCACCTGATACGATGTTGTATACAGCATTTGAGAATCCTGCGTGGAATCTTTCGAGAGTTCTGACGCACCAAGTAACGCGAGCCGCTTTTTGCTCTTCACAGAGCGAATGCGGTATCCATCGGGAAAACAACTTTTTTACACCTAATTCTTCATGCAAGATTTGACTCATGCCTTTGCCTCATGTATTCGACTCATGCCAATGTCTAAAGTTGCCTGAATTTCGCGGTATGTCACATGTCGATCTTCCTCAATCAGCTTACGCACAGCATCAACGTTTTCTTGGGTGACTGCAGTTTTTGGACGACCTTGACGGGGATCATCACTGAGCTTGACACGTCCACGTTGAAATTCAGCAAACCAGCGATAAATTGTGGTTTTGGATGGGGCTTCATCACCAAATGCAGAAATCATCCAATCAACACACTGTTTTTGTGTTAAACCACTTCGAAGGTCATAATAAATCATCACTCTTGAATTTTCTCGAGTCAATTCCATTTTCTCAACGACTAAACAAGTTTGACAAAACCTTGTGACAAGACCGAGAATCTTTTTTTAAATAAATAAATGGTATTCGATTTTTAAAACCAAGGACTTTTCAATTAAAAAGATTTTAATATGACAGGAACAGTGGAAATATTCCATTCCCGATACTTTTAGTGCAGCCTATAGCCTAGCCTCTTTTATGTAGGGTATAAGAAAAAAATCTCACCAGAGAAGAAGAAAAACAGCAGCTCCCCGACGAAGCTTTGCGCGGCAACCACAACGCCTTCTATCAGCTTTATCTGCGCCATAGAGCCCGTCTGCTCGGCCAATTCCTCAAGGAACCTGAAATCGTTTTCTATTTCCTCTTATCCTTTTACCCGAATGTTTTATTTATTTATTTATTTAATCTTTATTGTGATACACCTTTATCTAAGGGTTACAATGGGCGGACTTAATGCCTTATGGTATTCTCTACCAGTCAACCCCTGGAGAATTAGATAAGTAAACGTTGGTAGGTGCTAAAACAATGTTAAAATGACTAGACATATATTGTAAATAACCATAAAATATTTTAAGATATTGTAAGAAGAAATTATAAAATATAAGTTGTCAAGTGCCGAGTGAGTAAAAGTGCCAATTAGAGTGAAAAAAAAAATGGATGTATTCCTAAAAACAAAAAGCAAGAAATAACGTTGTCCAATATTGCCAGCTTCTTCGGTGAGGTCGGAGCTTTGTTATTGTGTTCCAGATATAACTAACTCTCCCATCGCCGGCACACGCTTTTATACCTACTAGGGAAACAAATCATGAGATGGGCAGCAGAGTCTTCATAATAACGACTAAAAAAAAAACTGCGGTTGCTAGCCCGTTAGCCAAGCGTGGCAACTATCGCATATATCTGATATGATGATGAATAAATATATGACGATGATTAGATTTGATGATTTATCGGGGAGGCCTATGTTCAGGAGTGGACTTTAATAGGCCGTAACGGTAACGGTAATCAATTCAAAAGTTTTTTTAAACCAGTCCCAAACCAAACGCAGTGCTCAAATTACAATAAAGTTTTAACTCAAACGAAATAGAAGGCGACGACTCACCAGAACATATAGTATATGATAAAGCTGTCGAAGGTGCCGGCCACCACCGCGAAGATGATAAAAACCACGACCCTCCGTATCTTGAGGACTTCGCGCAGCGCTTTCCCCGAGTCGTCGGGACTTCTTAGCGATGGCAACTGAGGTAATAAAAATATCATAAAGAGAATAAACACTGAACGGAATGAAAACGTGTTTTAACGTGGTAGAGTCACGCTGCAGCTATATTTCTGTTACAGCACAAACGGGTCAGCTCGACCAGGGAAGGACCGCGCTTTCACAGTATACCACCATAAAATAGCAGCCTAATGCTGCTATGGTCCGTGTGGTGAATGTAGAGAACCAGAATCTATTTTTACTGGTATTGAGGCATTCTGTCACAAATACGTTTCCGTGGCTCTGACAAGAGATGGAATATCATGGGATTTTAGTCGGTAAGAGTCCGACATATTCAATCCCAACCCACGAATGGTGCGTGCGTAAGCATTTCCCCATAAAAAAATTTGTTTGTCGCTTTAACTTGACTGTGAGTTTTATCACTAAAATCAGAAAAACTAGAGAAAAATGAGCAACCCACTGTAAGCGCCCTAAATCTGTATAAATCTATGACGATGGCTACCGTGGCCATAGAATTGTACATGACTTTGTAAAATCTTTATTTTTTTATTTTACATTTACAAAAACATACCACATTTTTAATACAGAATGAGAAGAAAAAGCTTTTGTCTGGTTTTTGTTTCATGCACTTACATTGTCATCCGATGCTGAGTTATTCGTATGTTCAAAATTTCAAGTGTCTGGCTCATCGGGAAGTTAGTTTAAAATTAATTATTAAATTCGACCCGAACAGGCATACACGAGAGCTAGTTAATAAAAACGTGGTAAAAATGACGACGGGCTCGAGGGCGACTTGCTATCAGATAATCTATTGAAGTACACCCTCCCTAATGACATCAAAACCTTCAATAAATGTGACTAGAGGATGATCAACTCACCTTAAGCGCTCTACAGCTGTACAAATCTATCACTGTGGCCACTATAGCCACAGCGAAGGCCGGGGTGAAATCCTTATAAGTACCCGACACAGCGTCAACCAGCCAGCCGCCCAGTAGAGCTGTCGCGCCATAACCAGCTGTGCCCCAAGCTCTTTGGCCACCGTATTTGGAGCCACGATCTGGACCTTGAATAAAGACACCAAACATTACTGTGTACTGGATATTCAGTTACTTATACAGTTATTAAAATTAGTGCTTTTACGTGGTAGAGGCATGCTGCAGCTATATTAATAGTATAGTTATAGGACAAATAGGTCGGCTTGACCGGGGAAGGACCACGCTCTCACAGAATACCAGCGTAAAATAGCAGCTTATTGCTGCTGTTTTTCGTATGGTGAGTGTAGAGAACCGCAGAGCTTTTTACTGGAAAAGAGGCATTCCATCTCGGGTGACAACGCATCAGCATTTTGATTCTTTATTGAGGATAGATGTAAATGTCTATGGGCCACAGCAACCACTTACCATCAGGTGGACTGTGTGCTCGTTTGTCACCCTATCCTATATATACATATAAAAAAAATGAACATTATAATATATACTGGGGTTGTTATAAATTAATTTGCTTAATTCCGCGTAAAGAAAGAAAATTATGTGTTCTGCCCAGTTTTAAGGAGACCTAACACCCTCCCTCAATCGGGCGCACTATACCCGTCGCCTGCGGAGGCTGGCCGCTAATTAGCGGAGAGTCTACTTCACCTGAGGATGCCTCGTGTAGAGGTGAAACACGTGTCGTATTTTCGAGAGCGGTGTGTCGTGCCTAGTGTGGTGGTGCTGGGGATGGTAGTGCTGGGATTGACGGCGACGGGTATAGTGCGCGCGATTGAGGGTGGGTAGGAGGTCCCCTTAAAACTGGGCAGGACACATCATTTTCTTTCTTTACGCGGAATTAAGCAAATTAACTTTTATTATAATGGATTTCCGCAAAGTAAGGCCTGATTCTATTAATTAACTATATACTGTATTCACACTATATTTTTGTTAACACTCTTTGTATCTTATTCTCTCGCAGGCTAAATCCTATAGATATATATGTTTGTCTCTTTTTATCGTCGCTTTTCGTTTCGTCGAGTTTCAAATCATGAAAATTCTAAAGAATTTAAATAAAACTAGTTTTACGCATTTTATCGCGTATATTAACTTATTTTATATTCCCGACGTTCCGATCTACGCAGTAGAAACAAAAAGCAGGAACAAAAATTAATAATTTTTATCTGGGGGTAACTATGACATTGGGACGTCATACACACTCAGTCCGCCCCGTGACCATGGTTGCTGTAAAGTAAGCTCGAAACGTCGGGAATATAAAATAAGTTAATATACGCGATAAAATCCGTAAAACTAGTTTTATTTAAATGTGTAGTGTTCGCGTAAATACAAGAAATCAATTCTAAAGAAACTTTCACATCAATCAAAAATAAACGGAACTCACCTAACACATCAAAACATACAGCGTCTCCTATACAGTTGGCTACATTGAAAGCTACCGTTCCAACACACATAAGTACAACAAAGGTCCAGAAAACAGCCGTCATATATATACTACCATCTTCTTTTGTCTCCACTCCTTTCTCTTTCGTCACTTTAGCATAAACCTTTTCAATATTCTGAAACGAGTTGCCATCCTTAGCCGCGCTCACTTCGCGCCTTGTTCTATTAAAGTTTGTTTCATTCATTTCTTTGGGTATAATTGCATCTTCAAAACACACCAGGTTGCAGTCTTTCAGCGGTGAACATATTGTCTGTCCCTGTCTCGATTCAACATAATTCATATGGAAGAGCGAGCAAGTTGTATTTGTTACTGGACCGTCCACGTATATCGTATTCACAAATGTCGAATTCGGCAGGAATACTCCGAGGTGATCCGTTTTTTCGCATGTCCAATGACAATTATATAATTCAAGTGGTTCGTAAGAGTCATTTTTGTACGTTTGGATATACACAGTGTCGTTTAATTTGTAAATTGATCTGAGGAGGGGTTCAGAGGGTTCTGGTTCTTCTGGCATTGGCAAAAACCACAAGCCGCAGTATGACCCCGTCATAACAACTATGAGCAGCATGAAGACTAGTTTTCTTTGCCTCTGAAAACGCAAAAATTCATTATTATAATTTGGGATTATTTGTAGCAATCACGCGTATTTGGGATGTATTTATATATAAATACAGAACAACAAACGAAAAATAAAATTTGGGAAATCGAAAGCACGTAATCCCTTGCGCTGACGGAAAAGAATTTTACATCAAATTACATACATACATACATATAATCACGCCTCTTTCCCGTGGGGGTAGGCAGAGACCAGTTCTTTCCACTTGCTACGATCCTTGCATACTTGTTTTGCTTCGTCCACTTTCATTATTCCCTTCATACATGCTCTTCGGTTTAGGGTACTCTTTATTATTACTTAAATGGTAGATTTACAGAAAATCTTCAAAAAGATCATCGACTTTCATTAATAAAGTTCGATAGCGATCATGCAAAGGATAAATGGAAACTTTTGATCTCATTGTAGTCACGCTGCAGTTATATTATGGTTGCAGCACGAATGTGTCGTCTCAACAGAGGAAGACCACGCTCGCATAAAATACCAGTTTAAAATAACAACATAATGCTGATGTGTTTCGTATGGTGAGAGTTGAGAACCGGAGAGCCTTTTTGCTGGTAACGAAGCATTCTATTTTAATGCTTAAGGGTGACAACATACATTTTGATTCTTAATCTAGGATTGATGTATTTATCCTCAATAACGAATCAAAATGCAGATGCGTTGTCACCCCTGAGAACTAAGATGGAATGCCTCGTTTCCAGTAAAAAGGATCTCCGATTCTCTACACTCACCATACGGAACACAACAGCGTTCAGCTGCTACTTTACGCTGTTATTCTGTGAGAGCTTGGTCCTACCCAGGTCGAGCTGACCCATTCGTGCTACAAGCTACAGCGTGGCTATTTTGATATTATTACTATTGTTATTGTACGACATAACGAGTACACAGTCCATCTCATGGAATGTACCGTGGTCTACAAACACATACATTTATCATCGATTAATAACCAAAATATAAACCCTGAGAACTAAATGAAATGCCTTGTTACCAGTAAGGATATCCGTTTCTTTACAACACTATACTAAATACGGCAGTATTACGCTGCTATTTCACGCTAGTGTTCTATGGCGCGGTCCTTCCTCGGTCGAGCCGCTGCATTCATACTGTAGTCATAATGCAGCTTATAGCGTGACTCTACCAAGTACATTCTACAGTAAAAACTACATATTTAACCTTACAGGCCAGTAATCAACCACGTAGCCAAAAAGCGGCTTCGCTAATGCCCAGAGGAGTGGCAACACCGCCGTCACCATGCCCATGGCGGCTGGCGAGATGCCCAGCTGCCGGCCGAACACGTTCATTTGCGGCAGAAGGGGACCGAGGGCTGAAACAATAACATAAAAGGTTAGGCCATTAGAAAGCATCCAACCATCCACTCATCCATTACAGCAGTGACTCCCAATCAGTGGTCCGCAGACCGCCAGTTTGTGAAGTTTAGATTTAAGATTAGCCCGGACAGACAGATATACAGACAGACAAAAATTTTATAAATGGTTGTTCACGTCCTAATGGTATATCGCCAACTCTTATCTAGCTTCTAGCTCTACTCGCTTCTCAGTCATCGCTGGCGGTGGGACAAGTGCCTTAACCTAATTTATAAATTATATATGACACAACTAAGTTTAACCAAACGCAATTGGCTATTGACGTATCCGCACTTCGTCTGTTCGCCGTAACATATATAAGATGTACTGGTCAGCGTTACGTGAACCCTAGGCGATAGTGTCCATGCACAGGAATCATTGCACCCACTGGTGGCTGCTAGTTGTGTAGCTACGTATCGAAGCTCGTATCCCTGGCGTAAAATCGCTTTAAGTCTCCACCCCCGTAGTTTAAAAACCTGTATCTAATAAAAATCTAACATAGCAGACCTATCAAAATTATCTGAAATTTTGAATTTACTAGATACACTTGGATTTGCAATTTTGTAAGAAACACTATTGTTTAAAAAACGCGCCACTTTTTTCTTTATAAAATTAAAGAGACAAATAACGACCTAACAGTCCACGTGATGGGTAAGTGGTACTGCAACCCACGGACACCTGCAAACAATTTATTAAAGTGAAAACTTCTTTAGACTCGTCGAGATCTGAAATTCTATGAAAGAAAAAAGCGACACTAAAAAAAGACAAATATATATATCTATAGGATTAAGCCTACGAGACATTGAGATAGAATACAGTATACTGTGTTTTTCTGAAGGTTTGACTTCGACCGCGTGTGAACTGCATACCATTTTTAGTTTTTAAAAGAACAAGCATGACAAACGAACACACAGTCCACCTGATGGTAAGGGGATAACGTGGCCTGTGAACATCTACATTTATCCTCGATTAAGAACCAAAAAGCAGTTGCGTTGTCACTCCCGAGGAATAAGATAGAACGCCTCGATTTCAGTAAAATGGGTCTCCAGTTTCCTTGACTCACCGTACTAAACACAGCAGCATTAAGCTGGTATTTCATGTTGGTATTCTATGAGAGCGTGATCCTACCTAGGTCGAGCCGACCCATTCTTCCTACTACAATAATATAGCTGCAGCGTCGCTCTACAGTGTATAAAAACTTCAAACATATAAAACTACGGATACATAGTCACTCCAGAGTACCTACCTTTTTTTATAGGATAGGGTGACAAACGAGCACACAGTCCACCTGATGGTAAGTGATAGCTGTGACCCATAGACATCTACATTTATGCTCAATAAAGAATCAAAATGCAGATGCGTCGTCACCCGTGAGGACTGAGATGGAATGCCTCTTTTCCAGTAGTATATCTCCGGTTCTCTACACTCACTATACGAAACACAGCAGTGTCAAACGGCCATTTTACGCTGGTATTCTGTGAGAGCGTGGTCCTTCCCCGGTCGAGCCGACCCATTCATGCCACAACTATACTACTAATATAGCTGCAGCATGGCTCTACCACGTACAAATTTGTATTTAAATTTCTATCATAGTTTTAATTAATTCATGTCACACTTGTCTCAGGTGACCATATTACGTTAATTTTCGCTCGAGTTTAGATTCGTAACCATGACTTCAGAAATGATAGGCCTGTGCCCGGCAGTGATACGTAGAATACGTACGCTATAACTTTATTTTTCACCAATTAAGATTCGAACCAGGCAGGTGCAAGATGTTTTCACAAAGCCACACAGTAAAATATTATCATCGCGATTGGCGTTCAAGTGTTCACGCCGCCATTGCATGTTTGAAACAAACAACTCATTCCCGCCATAAAACAATGCACATAACTGTCATGGCGGACAATGCGACCGTTAAGAGTTACAAAAGTGATAATGTTTTATTTTTATTCCGTGGCGGTATATTATGCATATTTACCTATTATTTGTAACGATATTTATTTACCTATAAGTGGAAATTCATACATTTAAATAAAATAGAAGTGCATGTCTGTAATATTGAAATAAATCACTTCTATTAAGTTGAGGGGGTTATTTGCATGCTATTAAGTTATAAATAACCATTTTTAAAATGTTGTATGTCTGTCTGTCGGGCTAATCTGAATGAGAATGGCTAAACCGATTGCGATAAAACTTTACTAACAGATAGAGAGCAAAGCCAGGAGGGATCTAGACTATATTTTATTCGAATAAGTTGAAATTTTTTTTAAAAAGAAACGAATAAATTATATGGCCTTTAATTATCTTAAATCTAAATAACACCACATTAATAAATCCTGCCCAGGCGAAGACGGGGCGGGTAGCTAGTATATAATATGTCAAAATACATTTTACACTGCTAAACATAGGTATCCCCAAGGAGCGCCATAAAGTAAAAGTCAAATATTTTTATTCAAAATTGGCTTTTGCAAAACACAAATTCTACGAATTTCTACTGGGGAAGAACTTGTGGGAAAAAGCGACAAAAATATAAAAACGATCCTAAGTCACATGCATCCATTGACTGTGTTTATACTATATTTTACGCTGGTATTCTGTGAGAGCGTGGTCCTACCCCGGCCGAGCCAACCCATTCATGCTACAACCATAATATAGCTGCAGCGTGGCTCTACCACGTATAAAACGCACGATATCGCTAGGAAAGAAATTATCAACTTTTGGTTGCGAAAGTATATGAGCGATTGTTATAATGAAGTGAATGAGAAGGAACTGAACTGCATTGCCACGCATTTTGAATTTAAAAGATAAAAAGAACAGATATTGTGATTTTTTTTTCAATTTTTCTTCACCATTCGCCTAAATTACTTATTCTTAACCTCTGCAAAATAACCTTATAAATCGCCTAATATGCTGTGAACACTAAGATTTGTTACCTTCTTTAGATATATGAAACATTGAGCATACATTTTGAATGTATCTTTTTTGGATTACTTCATTTATATTTATATAGACGATATATTGAGAACTAGCGACCCGCCCCGCTTGGATATGATCTATTATAATAATTAATAAATAATTTTTAATGTAACGTTATTTAAATTTAAGATAATATAATTTAAAATCAAAAATTTTGTACAACCGACTTCAATATAAATTATTAAGAATAACTCAAAAACTATTGGTCAGACCTTGAGCAAATTTATATGGGCCCACATGTGAAGCACCAGCTTTTAAATAAAGAAAAGAGTCATCGAAATTGGTTCACCTAGTAAAATGTTATGAGGTAACAGACATAGAAAAAACATATAGTCGAATTGAATACCGGCTCCTTTTTGAAGTCGGTAGAAAAGACCATTAATTTTATAAAAAATTTCGTTTTTCTTTTCAAATATATCTTCTAGTTTCTCTGATAAAATATAGCCTAGATCCTCTTGGCATTGCTTTCTATATGTTCGTAAAGTTTCACCACACCTCGACACGCGAATTCAAGATGGTTTCGAACGAGTAAACAAAACAGAATCTATACAAAAAAAATAAAATTGAAGTGTCTGTTTGTAATGTCACAATAACAGCTTTTTTACTAAATGCATATGAAAGTATATACGACAGCTGTTGTTAATGGAATAACTTAGGCGAAGACGGGGCGGGTAGCTAGTATATAATATGTTGTAATTTTGGAAAAATTATTAGTAATGAATTTTATACGGACGAAGTCGCGGCGAACAGGTGATAAATAATTTCACCAAATCCATTTCAACAATGTCATATTTCGAGTCTAGCGACTCCGGGCGCGCCTCCGATTGAATCGGCCGAAAATCATCACATCTAACCTCACACGCGATCGACCCGCACCTGTCACAGCGTTTCCCGCCCAATCGCAATCGCTCGGCTCGGCTGATTCACCCATTTAGTTCCAGAGGAAGTCGCAATTTAGGATCCTTATCAATGGCATAGACCTTAACACGACCGTGAAACGAGCTTGTAGCGTACAAGAGGGGAAAACGCCAGGCGCTAAATAATTGTTCTGTCAGTGCCTCATATTCACCGGGAATTTATCGCAAGTATAAACAATTAACCCCTTTCTTGTAGGATACTAATTTATATAGCAGGATCGGTTTCAGAGCGTGTGCTTTTACTTTTTGATAAATCTGAACTTTTCAAACTAGAAGTTTTCAAGTAAACTAACTACACATAATTATATCTCACTACGCGGATATAAGTAAATTTATTTTTAACAACTTTAATATTAGTCCAGTAGAAATCGGCGCACTAGTACCGAAAACTATTCCACCTCAATTTTTTTATACCATTCTCTACAAATTGTCCTACTGATGATATAAATGCATGTTGCCATGTGACAACTCGGTGCCATATTTCATAAACCGAGTTTTTTATCAATTGTAATCAATGGTTATTTCCAAAGGGGACATTTTTTTATATTCTTTGATGAAATACGAATAAAAAAGGTCCCATGACTTTTTTACAATGAAGTTAATATTTTCGGAGTTATGAATTATTAAATGTTTGAAAAATCCCCAATTAAGAAACTTTTGACTCCTTTTTTTTATTTACTAACATTTACAAAAACATTACACAATTTTATAATTTCACCAAACTGTAAAGACAGTTTGATGGCGAATAAATGCACTCTTATATCCTATTACATAATTAAATAAGTACACCACAGTTTAAAAATATAAAAAAATATAAAAGTGTCACCAGTAAAAAGGGTCTCCGGTTTTCTACACCAGATTCGCAAAGTGTTCCGCGGAGCCTAAGGGTTCCGTGGAAAAGTCACAAGGGTTCCGCGTAATTATTTATTTTTGCTTGTTAAATAATTTCACACTGGTACAAATATTATTGTTACGGACGGCAAAGGAGGCCACCGCCCCTTCACACCCCGTTGCGCCCCGCGCACCCCGCACACCGGCAGCAGATCACGCAATGTCGCCGACCAATC